TTGGGCTAGCCTTGTTAGACCAGAGGGCTTGAACCCAGAAGAGACACTTGGTAGGTCACAGGATGGTGGGTTCTGGACAGTGCTGGGAGCTTGTGCCTCAGCAGCCCACAGCGAGCCCTGGTGGGGATCGAAGAACTCTGATTTCCCATAGAAAGCAGAACATTCCAGGAAGAGCCCAGACTGGTCTGATGGTTAGCCTTGGGGGCTCTGCTCCTGAGATACGGAGTTAGAAGGCCATTTTGACCTGGGGGCGAAGGGCCTATGGGGGAACCAAGTTCTGCCTCCTGCCACAGCCTTCCTCTTATCAAGCTCATGCACAGATGGTAGCCACCAGGGCCAGGACAGCATCGCCTAACTCCACTCACGTTGAGACCACAGCCAGAGCCTCCCTGGGGTAGGACAGTGGCCTGCTCTCAGGATATGTACACTGAAGGCTCCTGGTCTGATTCCCGAACCCCTTATCTCTCAGGGCCTCCTCCACAGACCCCAGCATTTCTCCAGCCTGTGTTTGCTGCACGGTGCAGGGTTGTGGGGATGTGGAAGTTAAGTAGCCTGAGGAATTTGACAGCGAAGGAAGTGGAAAGAAACCAGTGTGACCTTGAATGAGTTGCTTTATAACCTCTGAGCCTCAGTTTCCTAATCTGTCAAATAAGGAGGATGGCAAGAGCTACCTCACAAGGTCGTTCTAAGCAGTCCATGAGGTGTCAGTGACATGTGCTCAACAAGGCAAGAGCCAGCAGTAGCGGCTGTCACTGCCATGTATAACGTAACAGCAGGTGGTTCTGAGAAGGTTGCGGAAGGGAAGGCTCCCCAAAGGAGGCAATTCTGGAGCTGGTGGGTAGGAGAGGGCAGTACCAGCAGGGGGAGCTTCAGGGCAGTCGTGTGGAGGCATGACATAGCGGATGGAGAGTGAATCGCTGGCCAGTGGAACAGAGCCTTGGGCTGAGCCCACAAGGGGCGTAGGGGTATGAATTCTCTGGGGCCAAGGCATGCCAGCCCCCTGAAACTGAGCGCAGTCACCCCTTTCCCTAGATGAGTGTGGAATTGTGGCCCAGATCTCCGAGCCCTTGGCTGCTGCAGACATCCCCGCCTACTACATCAGTACTTTCAAGTTCGACCATGCACTGGTGAGTGTCCAGCCCAGGCCCGGGGCAGGACGGGGTGGCCGGGCACTGCCAGGGCTCAGGGCATGTACTTGGTGCGCCCTCAGGTACCAGAGGAGAACATCCACGGCGTCATCGGTGCCTTGAAGGTCAGTCAAGCAGAGAAGCATTAGAAGGGCCTCTCCTGCGCCTCCCTGTGTGGGCCCAGCCCCCACCCCGAAGATTGTTCTTGCAGTATTTCTCCACAGACTGGAAAACCAGCCCCGGGGACCCCAAGGAAAGGTGTCTCTGGGAGACTCCCCCAATTGCCAAGGCCTCCCCGTGCCCTCCTGCCTTCCTGGGGCCCCAGACCATTCTCCCACCCCTTCCCCCACCCCACCCCAGAGAATGATCCCTGAGGTCCAGGGAGCTTGTGAGCTGATCCACCCTGTCATGCAGCCTCGCCCACAGCCAGGGGCACATGCCAGGGGAAGCTGGGTCCTCCCCCGAGACACTGGTGGACCTCTTACAGTGGCGTCTTGGGGGGCTGGCAGTGCAGGGCTGAGTTTGTGGAGCCCGGGAAGGCCCCTGTGAGGGTGGGGGCTAAATACTGTGGTTGCTGGTCTCTGTTTCCATCAACTCAGGGCTGGTTCCCTCAGAGTGGAGGCCAGTGGGCCACCCTTGGCTCATGGTGGCTGCCAAGGCTCAGGCAGGAACACGGGTGGGATACCCAAGCTGGGGAGGACCTGATCCCCCAGCACCTCGCCTGCCAACCTCAGGGCCTGTGCCCTGACTCCCAGCAAGACTGCCAAGAGGGGTCCTGTCTAGACCCTCCCCACCACAAGCACTCAGTCCTGGGGTGAGGAGGGAGGTCCTCGCAGAAGACCCACCAGCCTGGAGCACCAGCTTCTGTCCACTCTGCTTTCCCTGGACCCTACATGGGCAGGCGGAGCCTCAGTTTCCCCCAGCGGGGGCATCCCCAGCATTCTGGGCCTGGGGTTTGTTAGGTGATCCCCACCTCCCCAACAGCTGATTAATTAGACCAGCATAGGACTCCCCGTCATCCTCCCCCTGTCTCCTGCCCCCAACTTGCCCACCTGCCTGCCTGCCCGCCCTTCAGTCCGGGGCCGTGACATTCATGAGTACTTGACCTGGGAGGCAGCATAACTGAGCCTTAATAGAGAAAATGATACCTTGTTTTAGTTTTTTATTTAACGTACTTGCGCCCAGGCTGCTGTTGGCAGTAGTTGCTGGTTTCAGGGCACAGGGCCTGTGTGAGTTCTGTGGAGTCGGAGCTGTCACAGGGCCTTGGCCCTCTCTGCTGAGTGGAAAGCTGGGAGCCAGAGGTCTGTTACAAGATGCGGGAGCCTGTGGCGCCCCACACAGGCTCCCAGCCAGCCGTGGTTCTGTCTGAGCATGGGTAGGGGGAGGCCTAAGGGCCCTGGGTAGGTGGACAGCTGGTGGCAGCCTGCAGAAAGTGGTCTTGTCCAGGGGGAATGGGGTGAGCCCTGGTGCCCCTCCAGCTGGGAGCGCTTTCTGAGCATGCAGGACCGAAAGGGCCCACCGTGGCTCTTCTACTTGCTGAGGCTGTTTCTTGGGCAGCAGCTGAGTTGTGCCATCTCCAAGAAGGTCAGAGGAAAAGGGACATTTCTCATCCTGGTGAAGGGCTTATGTGAGCCCTGTTCCCTGCTGCTCAAGCTGGGCAGGACCCTCTGAGCCCCAGAAGCCCACCAGGTGGAGAATCTTCTAGATCCTTGCAGATGCTCAGGGGCCACGACACTGATTAAAAACCCACTTTTTTTTTTTTTAAGTTAATTCATTTTGCACAAAACTCCAAAACAACCAAAACTTATAGATTGTTTGCTGGTCCCTAAAGGGAGGTGGCCGAGCAGACAGGGCAGGGGTCTAGGCCCTGAGTCCCCTTTCTGTCTTTGGAAGGCCTTGATTTTCCTTCCCATCGGTTTCCCCGATCATGTCACTCCTGTGCCCTTCCTTCCTGCCGTGCAAGTGTGTCAGCCCCAAAACCCCGATTCATGTGATCCCAAGACTCCCTAGGACCTATCTATTGTACACACATATAAATACCTGTGTTTTATGTTGATAGAGGTATATACTGTAAATAGCATATATACTTGAGCAATATATATGTTAATATATACTGTGTGCGCAGCCCGTGGGCACAGACCCCACTGTGTGCGCGCCTGTGGGCTGAGGGCCTCCGCCCCGTTGTGTCTGCCATGCATACAGGCACGTTTTGAGCCACCATATATTTTTAATTCAAGTATATAGGCAATACGATTACTGGAGACGCCGAGTGGATCCCTTAGACCTGACTTGAGAGAAAATAAAACCAGCATCACAAGGGGTCTGCAACCTGGGACAGGTGTCGAGGGTCTCCTGGGGGGTGGTGGTGGTTCCGCTCCCGTTTCCACAGCCAAGGCCCCTGGACACCCTTGTCTTATGTGGGCAGATGTTGGTGCCAAGGGAGGTGGAGTCAGCATTTCTTGCTTTTTACCAGAACGGCCCCTCCCTGGTGTTCTCACGCTGAAGACCTGGGCCAGCTGGATGGGTCCCACTACCAGCTGTCTGTCCGGGGTCTCTCTGATGGTGGTTTTTATGCTGGCGGCTTACCTGATTTCTTTCTTTCTTTTTTTTTTTTTTTAAACCTGCAAGCTTAGAAATCTCAGGTTCTTTTCCCAGGTCTCTTCCTGGGGACTGGCCCCGTCCAACTGAGAAAAGCACGTATGACCTTGATGTTGTGTCTGGGGAGGGGTTGAGGCAAGGGCACAACTCTGAGCTGAGGTTGTGTTTCCAGCCCCCTTGGTGGGAGCTGCCCCTGGGGGCCCCACTTTTTGGCTACAGTGGGCCACTTATTTTTCCCATTCCCATCCTGCTTGTGTGAAGAAGCTTCTCTTGTGTTCTGTGTGTAGCATAGTCATGGTTTGGTCTCCACAGCTCTTAGAGGGGGATATGAGCAGTTTTCCTAATGGCCATCCCTGGCACGTGTCCTTTTCCCATGCCCCCAGCCATCTCCTGGTTTGCTGGGTGTGAGGGTCTCTCCAGACCTCAGCCTCCCTGCCCAACCGTTCGGTGTCCATCCTGTGCCCCAGCCTCAGAGGCAGCCTGAGCAATGTGTCCAGCTGGCAGCTGGGGTTCTCTTGGCTCCGGCTGATGAGGTAGGTGGAGGGGAAGGAAGGTGGGCTTTTCACCCCACAGTCTCCAACACAGGCAGGCAGGCAGAGCTGCCACTGGGTTGCATGAGTGCATCTTTGCCTCTGTGTGCTTCTGTGTGCCTCTCTGCTAAGAAAAGCTCCATCTAAACGCCACCCTGCCCCCATCACTCACCCATGCCTGTACCCACAGACTGATAAGAGCCCAAGAAGAGGGGATGCAGTGACCACCCTTCCCGCCACTAAGAAAAGCTCCATCTAAACGCCACCCTGCCCCCATCACTCACCCATCCCTGTACCCACAGACTGATAAGAGCCCAAGAAGAGGGGATGCAGTGACCACCCTTCCCGCCAGTGGTAAAGATCTGCATCTTTGGGGCCCATCCCTTGGCATGGGCTCCCTCGTTCCCAGGAAATTCCTTTCTCCCTCAGCCCTCAGTCCTGCTTCAGTGAAGACACAGACATTACCAGTTCTGTACCCTCTTCCTCCAGAGCCCCCTGAGAGGCAAGGTACTGCCCACACCACTGTCCTCAGCCCAGGGCATGCATCTGAGCTGGAGACACCTGCAGCCCCGACCCCAGTGGCCTCTCCCCACCAAGATTCAGGGGAGCCCAGAGCCTCCCAAACCACCAGCATTCTCCTCCTCCCACCTACCCTAGGCAGCAGGCCGTGGTGGGGAATGAAGGAGCCAGGTGACCCAGAGATGCCCATCATGGCCACCCCCATCAGGTAGCATGGCCGTGGTGACTGGTGTCCAGCAGGAGGAAGATTGGTTTAGTGGGGCATTTCCCCTCTGAGGCATCAGAGGATGCCGCAGCAGTCAGGAGGGACGGGACACCATTTGTCCAATGATCTTCAGAGATGATCCCCAGGCCCCCGGCCACATCTCCCAGGCAGGCCTTTAGGGGTCCAAAGTCACCCTGGGCCATCTTTCCGAGCCTGTAGATCTGGATGTCAGGACAGTAGGGCTCTTCCTAGCCCCAGCCACAAGAGGGGACTTTTGGGGAGCACTCCAGCCCTGCAACTGAGGAATTTTTGAGGCCACTTCCTGAATGAAGCGTGGGGGGTGGGAAGGAGGGTGGGGGACAACACCCTGCAACATCCGTGCCCACCAGGAGCAGAGGCCCCGGGAGCGGGGCCAGGAGCACTGGATGGGGCAGTCAGCTTGATGAACAGCTTGGGTGAGGATGAGGTCAGTCTCCAACAGTGAAAGGACACCAGCTAGAGACTGCTCAGGGCGGGTAGGCCTGGAGGGTCACAGCCACCATGGCTGACAGGGGTCAGTGCCACAGAGCAGCATGGTCAGGTGTGGCCAAGTTGTCCTGGGGGCAGTTGAGCCTGCTGTGGCTGGATAACTCCCTGCATCTTGGAGCTCATCCCAGCTTGCCTGCTTTCATTAGCAAATTAGAAGCAGCAAAAGGACAAGCCCAGTTGTCCCTGTGCCCCTTTCCACAGATTGTAGGAGGAGGTGTGGGGGGGGCTGTGGCCCCAGCTTTGCTCTGCAGGCCCTCCTTGAAGGCCACTCTCCTTGGGAAGGTAAAGGTGGGAGCTGTTGGCTGGAGCAGTGGTGGGCTGAGGTTGTCCTTGGGCTGATGGCACAGGAGTGGCCTGGGCCACAGCATGTGTGGCAGCCTGGTGGTGAGGATTTTGTGGCTCTTGGTAGAAGGGGAGGGGAGTCTGTGAGAGTCAGAAGTGCGGGGCAGCCCCCTGCCCTGGGAGTCAGTACGCTGTTCTGTGCGTGTTTCTAGATACACATGTATGTGTGAGTGTGTGTGTTATACACGAGTGTGTGTGTGCATGCACATGTGCAGAGCCCAGATCTGAGCTAAGGGACTGGCTTATTCAGTATTTCGAGTCTTCAGTAGCGTGTGTTCAGGGGTGATTGGGTGGTGGGTGGCATACTTGAATGCAAGCCCCAGCTCCAGGTTAGGATCAGGTTGTCCTGGTAAGACAGCCTCTCCCCCACTCAACTTGTTAAAACAACTCTGTGACACACAGAGGTGTCCCCAGCAGGGGTTCTGTGCCTCAGAGGCCTGACAGCACACACAGCCAGTCTGAAGGGGCTAGACCTGTCCATGTGGACTCCTCAAAAGCATCCAGTCTGAAGGCAGTGTTCACAGAGCAAGGTGGTGAGGGCTGGTGCTCCTCACCCACTGGGGCTCATCCTGGAAGAGCATCCAGCAAAGTTGGGAGACCCTGAGAGGGAATGAAAAGCAGGCCCAATTCAAGTCCCAAGATAGGCCAAGCCCAATATGTTTTCCTTTCCACTGCCTCAGTTTACCTATATTCAAAAAGTGGTCCAGAAGGAGTTGAGCAAGGTTGGCTCCAAAACAGTAGGGGGCTACCAAGGAAAGAATTCCAAGTCCTTCTCTTGCGCTATGCCAAACTCATTTCCGTTATCCTGAGATGGGGTGCGTGGAGGTGGGTGCACGTGGGTTCTGCAGGGCCTCTGCCCTGCTCAGAGCCTCATCTTGGGGAGGGGCAGGGGCCTTGTGCCCACGGCCTGCTCTGGCCCCCACCTGTCATGCCGTGCCTGGGTCACCAGCAGTAGCAGTGGCACGTCATCAGTCCCAAGGTCTGGGTGAAGGGGAGAACTGGCAGCCCTGCACTACCCCAGGGCCCTCACGCTTATTTACTTTGTTGAAGAAACACAAAACCCTCGAGATTCATGTACTGTATGATGGAGAGAAAAAAGTACCTAATGTCCCCCGCAAAAAGACAGTATATTTTGTACTTTGTAAAGTGTTAATTAAAATGAAGAGAAAACACAGTGTTGGCTGACGGCTGTCTGATTTTGTGCTGATCCACGCAGGGCCACGTCTCATCTCTTTCCCTTTCTCCATACTGTGATCGGGGACACAGGCCAGGGGCTGGAGGGGACAGAACACCCAGAATTGGAGAAACAGCCCCCAGAGCGAGACGCGGTGCATGAGTTACCCGATACTGCATAACATGTTGCCACAGAACTTAGTGGCTGAAAATGATCATTATATGTCGCAACATCTGTGGGTCAGGAATTCAGGAGCAGTTAGGCTGAGCAGTTCTGGCTTAGTGTCTGGGTGCAGTTGGCTGCTCTCAGGTAAGGACAGGACCTACTTCCCAGGTGGTTAGTTCACACGGCTGGCAAGTCGGGCCTGGCTGTTGGTGGGAGGCCTCAGTTTCTCTCCATGTGGGTCTCCCCACAGGCTGCTTGAGTATCCTCACAGTGTTGTGCCTGGCTTCCCCCAGAGCAAGGGATTGAAGAGTCCATGGTAGAAGCCTGAGAACTCATATGCCTTTGCCATCATACTCTGCCGTCATGCAGTTCAACTCTGATTTGACTTGGGGGAGACTGCACAAAGGGGTGGGAACCAGGAGGTGACAATCACTTGGGCCATCTTGGAGACTGGCAACTGTGCCCACCATTGCTCCCCAGATCTCTGGTAGACACAGGCCCAGGACTCAGGGAGCCCATGGATCTGGACAGGGCCTCACCAGTGGTGGTGGAGGATCAGGCGTTGGATTCTGGCCCACAGGGCCTCTGCCCCAAGCCTGGAGCTCTGCTGTGGATGTCACAGCCCCAGGAAGGGTTCCTTGGTGCTAGAAGCCCAGGAGCCAACACCTCCAGACAAGATATCCTGGGAGTGGGAGTGGCACGCCACACCCTGCACCCCTCCCACAGGCACTTGCTTTTGGCTCGTTTCCTCTTGGTAGCGGGTATCCTGTAGCTGCCCAGGCAAGAAAATGATGGGCTTGAGACCAGAACGTTCTGGACCTGGGATATCCTTCACTCTGCTCCTCTCTTGTATTTTCCATGGAGGGCAGGTGTGAGCAGGGCAGGGCTGAAGACCTATACCTGTCTTAGCACTCGACTCTGCCCACTCGCATGCCCACCCACACTCACCCGTGGCCCACAGGAAAAGAGGCCCTGGAGATGGAAGGGGGTAAAAA